CAAATCAAGGCATGTTGCATTTGGTCCTTGCAGTGATCAATTTAACTTACTCAAGATGGCAAACATGTCAACCACGTAAGCTATTTTCTGGAGTTCACTTTCATCACTGAAAAGTGCTTCGAACTGTGGTCTTTCTGATTAAAAACGTTTTGAGTTTATCACGAAGGTAAAAAATAAATACGTTTTAAAACTTTTCCTCTGGACAACCATCTCACTTCAGTGTGAAATAGCAGAGCATTGTTCGGCTCATCCAACTCGTTGCACAGTTGCGAAAAGTCGACTGTTTAAAGTGCTCGCCTTTACAAAACTGACAGAACTTATGATGCTTTTTATGACTTCTTGTAACTCTTGTGGCAGCGTCTTCATTGCTAATATTTGCCGATGAATCATACAGTGAGTTCCGATGACTTTTGGTGACTCATTCAGTACCAAGTGTTCAAATCCAGATCGACATCCTAGCATAGCTGGAACACCATCTATGCAAACGCCACAAACCTTTTCCCAAGAGATCTTATGCTCTTTCAGAAATGAACCAACAGTGTCAAATATATCATGTGCCATAGTTGCCATCGCAAGAGGTTTGCAAAAAAGAAACTCATCTTTAAAGTTGCCATCATTAATATACCTCACATAAAGTAGTAACTGTGAAGTTTGCAACGTCTGTAGATTCATCAAGCTGGATGCTAAATATTGGAAGTGGAGCAGATTTAATTTCCTGGATTACCGGATTAAGAATGTCAGCAGCCATGTCATCTATTCTTCTGCGGACAGTGTCATTAGATAAGGAAATCGCACTCAATTTCATAACAAATTCGTCTCCAATTATAACTTGAACAATGTTTTTGGCCGCTGGCGACAGTAAATCCCAGCAATGGGGTGAGGTTTCACAGCTCTGGCGATTCTGAGTGCCACCAAATATGAAGCTTCAACAGCTGCTACGTTTTGTTTGTGGTACTTGCCATGAGTGTCAAGTCCGGCTTTCTTGAGTCCATCAGCTTTGCTTCAAAAATAGTTGGTATCCTTGCCGGCAAAACTCGATGCTTGCTTTCAAAATGGCGTTTTAGTTTGTTCGGCTTCACAGATTCAGCTGATAGAACTTCACAACAAATAACACATTGCAGTTTCTCAATTCCTGCTGTTATGTGACCACCCTTATGTTCTCTCTGGAAGAATGGCCCTGGGTGACTCAGCATCTTCTTGTCTTTGAGTCCCAACACCATGGATCATGATGGTAATTTATCGGTCAATTTTGCAGATCCTCCAATCTGTGGATTACACAATAGCATTGACTCTCCCATTAAGCACCTAAGCCAAAATTGTCCACTCTGTCAGCCAGTGAGAACACAGCCCATTGTTGTATAGTTAGAGCAGGAACTAAAAGTTATAAGCTCACAACTGGCTACAAGCAATCAAGGGAGTCCAAGGCCGGGCATGGGAGAGCAGGAGCATAGCAGAGATAGGTGGGTGGATGATATCTATGTAAGGATTCATGATCGACTAAGGGGATGCATTTGCAAGTGTACGTCCTCAGTTTATTATGGGGTGTTTACAGGACAATGACAGGACAGGATATATGGGGGGAAACCTGCTAAAAAAACTGCTCCTCAATCATGTCTGTTCCTGAGCATCCATGGCAAAGACTTATTAATAATGTTTTGGATCAAGAGCCTTGGGGCATAAGCTGTGACATCTTACATCTGTCTGTCCAGAGTGGAAAGACCCTCTGGGAATGAATTGTGAAATCCTGCACCTGTCAAACCCCAGAGCAGAGGACTGTCTTCTTAAGGTTGGATGGTTAGGTCCACATCAGGGCTCAAAGAACCGCTGTTAGAAAATTCAGCTTTTAAAATTCAGCATGGAGTTTAGACTCCAGTCAAGACTTTCTAATGGGGTTGAGGCTCCTTTTTCAAAGGGCTCTATTAACACACACTCAGAGCTTCTGGTTTGAAGCTCTCTCACGGGCTCTTGCATGGTTTTAATCTAAAAGAAAATCTACAGCCCAAACAACAAAAGTATACCTTCAATGTTTTGTCTTACTGTGGTTGTTATCAAATGGTCAAGGATTATAGGTTTATGTTATGTTTTTTTTTTTAAATCTTCCTCAGATAAAATTGATAGAAAGGTCCCAAGTGGCTGCAGTGTGTGGACACTATGATTATTACTATGCTCAACTTGACCTGTTAAAGAAGCGAGCCCATGAACCAAGTTATCACGGTGTTCCTCAAAAGGACCCTGGAGTTGAGTACCATGACCAAGAAGAAAGCCGGAGCCCGTCACCAGGTCAATGGTACGTCACAATCTCATCTGGTACCCCCTGTGCATCTTTCTATATCAACATGCATTATCAGACATCTTTCCAAATTCTCCTAAAACAACTCTGTCAGGAAGAATTTCTACACCGTTCATTTCAAACATTTAATTTATAGTTCTCTGGATCTCATTGGAGTCTTGGTGGTGTACTGTGTTACATGCCGGGCTGCTAACCACAAGGTTGGTGGTTCAAACCCACCACCAGCTGCTCAGAAAGATCTATAGCTTTGGGCAGATTTCCACTCGGTTCTATAGGGTCCCTGTGAGTCGACAGCAGTGAGTTTTCCTGACTCCTTTTCATCTCAAGTAGATAGACCTTCTCATCCAGGTCCCTTTTTAACTGTGGACACAGGTCATTTTCTTGAATTTTTAATTTATTTTCCCCTCTGGTCAATTCCACTATCTAGGAGTGATGAAAATAATTATGTATGTTACATTTTCCAAAGACATTATTAATCTTATTAACGTTAATCGTTGGACTTTGAAACAAAATGATCCTTTGAGACATTTTGAAAAGGAAAATATAATATTTTATCCAGCATTTGTAATCTTAGCATTTACAGAATATGGATATATTAGGAAGAAAATAATAGTTAACACTGTTCCTATGGTCGACTTTCACAAAGTTTGCTCCAAATAAATTTCTGCAGATCATCTTTACTTCTAGTTGGTGTGTCCATATACTGCCAGCGTTCTCATGTCTGCAATAATTGACAACTACTGGGTGTATGGATTGTTATATGTAAAAGCCCCCAATAGAATGATTTATTAAGAAAAATGTTTTAACACCTACCCACAGAGCTGAAGACCTGGATCAGATATAATTTTGTAAATATGTTTTTGCCATCGCCACTTTTTTTCTTCCAAGGTTGAGCGTTTGCTGATTTTTGGTAATTGTGGCTGTTGATTTTTGACATTTTGAATGGATCATAAAACAATATACAAGACTAGTTGAGGTTGAATTATCAGCGAGTCAACGAAAATCAGGCAAGCAAGAGTGACATAGCAATGATCCCTCAGAAGTGGGTATGGGAAAAGCCGAAGCCTAATTTTTAAAGATACTGGATTTTACCCATCCTCGTAACATGGATCGAGCTACTCTTTAGTTATGAAAAGTTATGCATTCTATTAGTTCAAATAATAATATCCACATCTCACTGGAATCCAGTTGATTCCAAACCTATAGGACAGGGTGGAACTGTCCCTATGAGTTTCCAAGGTCGTAGCCCTTTCTGGGAGCAGAAAGCCTCATCTCTCTCCTGAAGAGTGGCTGCTGGTTTCGGTATGACCTTGTGGCTAGTGGCCCGACCCACAACCCACTACGCAGCCAGGGCTCCTCCGTAGCCACATAGGCCTCAGTAAGTAACAGCTGTTCTGCATGCAAGCAGAACTCTCTTTCACTTTTATTAGCCACTGAGACAGGTCTCTTCCACTCTTTGTCTAGAGATGATCATGTCAAGCGGTCAGTTGTTTCATATCTGATTTTATCTCTCAAACTTTCATGTGAAAACAGGTCCCTCCCTTCCTGGCATGCTGTTACCTTCTCACCACAGGCTCCATTTGCTGCATCCCAGCATGCTCCTCTTCCTCTGAGGACTCTTCCCATCGTTCTCCCCCTGAAGGTGACCAGACAAGTCTCACTTTTGGCGGGACAGTCCCGATTCTTGGCGTTTTTAAAAAGTCCCGATTTTTGAAAAGAATGCATGACAAGCTAGGGAATGGTCTATTTGTCCATATAGACCAAATTTTTAATCAAGAACACACACACCCCCACCCCCGGTCAATGGTGTCCTGCTTTAAATCTGGTCACGTTACCCTAAACCCCCACCATGACCTCTGTCCACCATTCCTAACCCTACTTTTGCCTCTGCGGAGCCCTGATTCTTGTCTGGAAGGAATCTGTACAGGGATACAGTGAGAGAGAGAGGCTGGCTCCGAATAATCTCATTCATAGGAATATTGTTACATGAGCCAGGTAGATTTTTGAAAGAGATGCGTTCTACTCCGAGCCCTCATTTGAGTCTGGCACTATCTCTGCAACAGACACACGCCAGGCATCTTCCAGGCCCGCTCTCTTCCAGCCTCCGTACCAACCCTCTGAGTAATAATACTTTTTTTCCATCTTCATAGTCTTTGTCATGTCTACGCCCATTAAGAAAATGAGTGGGAATATTCGTGTGCCCATTTTGTACATGCATTTGTCACTCAAGACATGCAGACCCATTTCAGTTTACAACTCCCCCGCCCCTCACCCCACCCCCGGCCCAACACACACACACACACACACACACACACACACACACACACACTTCTTTAAGCCACTCAAACCACTATTTGGGTTTGAGCCCATCGCAGGAAATGAAATCAACAACAATATCCTGTTAAACCCACATTTTAAAGATGAGGACCTAACCCTCGGAGACCTCGACTACCGTGCCATCCAATGTATGTCTTAACACAGGACACCCTGATTGCAGCGATACGGTTGAAGGGTCAGTTGCCTATTTGTAAACCGAGGAGTGCTCAACATGATCCCAAAGGAGAGATTTCTGAATGGAAAGTTCTGTCTCTGGAGCCCTGGAAGTTATTGATAGTCACATCGTTTCCACTGTGAACTGAAAGGTTCATAGTGGACATTTTTATCTAGCAACCCATCATGACAGAAATTCTTTGCAGGAAAACGCTGTTAAAAGATAGATGGAGAGCGTGGGGCGTCCGGGGGAGGAGAAAAAAAAAAAGATAGATGGAGATTCTCACTCTCTCACTGTCTCATTCTCACTCTCTCACTGCCTCACTCTCTCACTGCCTCACTCTCTCACTGACTCACTCACTCACTGACTCACTCACTCACTGACTCACTCACTCACTGACTCACTCTCTCACTGTCTCATTCTCAAAAAAAAAATTTAAAAAAAAGATAGATGGAATATAGGTTTAACCCTGAAATTGGTTTAGTCAAAATTGTGTTGGCAAAATACCACAGCCATTTTGAAAGACTGCTAAAGCATCATCACTCATTGGTCCATTAAGCATTGATGTATCAGAGTAAAGAAACCCTGAGCTACTCTTTGGGCTACTAACCATAATGTCAGTAGTTCAAAACCACCAGCCACTCCTCAGAAGAAAGATGAGGCTTTCTACTCCTGCCAAGAGTTACAGCCTCAGTAATCTCCAGACGCAGTTCTACTGTCCTATGGGGTTTCTATGGGTTGGAATTGACCAATAGCAGGTATTTGGCTTTCCCCCCATTTCTTTCCTTTCTCCTTCCCTCCCTTCCTCTCTTTAATCATTTTATTAGGGGCTCATACAACTCTTATCACAATCCATACATACATCAATTGTGTACAGAACATTTGTATATTCATTACCCTCATCATTCTCAAAACATTTGCTCTCCACTTAAGCCCCTGGCATCAGCTCCTCATTTTTCTCCCTCCCTTCCCGCTTTCCCCTCCCTCATGAACCCTTGATAATTTATAAATTATTATTTTGTCATATCTTACACTGTCCGATGTCTCCCTTCACCCACTTTTCTGTTGTCCGTCCCCCAGGGAGGAGGTTATATGTAGATCCCTGTAATCAGTTCCCCCTTTCCACCCCACTCTCCCTCTACCCTCCCAGTATCGCCACTCACACCACTGGTCCTGAAGGGATCATCCGCCCCAGATTCCCTGTTTCCAGGTCCTATCCGTACCAGTGTCCATCCTCTCTTCCTTTTGCATTTTCTTTGGAGTGCCAAGAGGAGAAGGGGAGGTGACCCTTCTTCGAGGAGCCCAGTGACCCTCAGTGAAATAAAGTGGGGCAAGGCTCCAGCAAAAGACGCAGAGGCAGGAGAACCCACACTTCCAGGCGCTGGGTTATATTTTCCAACGTGTCACAGACTACAGCAGGACTCATTATTCCTATCCCGAGGGAAAAATCACTGGATCAGACGGCGTTCCTGGAACAGCCCTTCCTGTATCCCCAATGAGGACTCTTCCCTTTAACCCTGCTCCTCCTGGTTCCAAAGACCTTCTTTTCCAGTGTAAAGATTCTAGAACGTCAAACCCTCTGGAACTTAGAGGCAGACATGGGTGACTGGTGAATCCCGTGACTAAGCTGAAAACCCACTGGGGTTCAAGGTCTCAGCCTGGTGAACATGGCCACTTACGCCCAACACTCTTACTTTCTAAGGGCTGCTGACTACCTGCAGAGGAGACTTGAAGCTCAACAACATAAGTTGAAAGTGGAAAAGCAATTGGTAAGTGAACTATCGGACACGGGAGGCAAGCAGTCATCTCCTACAACAGAATGTCTCTGCCCCTGTTGCTGGGAACCAAGGGTCTGGGATTGCCTCACAATCAAGAAGCCAAAGACAGTGACCAGGTTGATCTGAGAAACTCCTAAGTTTATTCTGAAGCATGATACAGCAATAGTTAGTTAGCCCAATGGGCAAGAACCCCAGTGGCATTAGCAGGCACATAGGAATAGATGATGTTGCCACATAGGCAAAAGCCATCCTGCTGGTAACCTGACACAGGCATAGGTTACTGAGGTAATGTTAGTGTAGCACCATGTTTCAGCCCTGATTCAAAGGAAAACGGCAGGGCTGTCCTGCAATCAGTATATAGTACAGTCTCTCACTGGGATTACTTGCTTTAGCCTGAGGTTGAATGTTAGAGATCAGACCCCAACAATACATTGTGGAAGAGTTCATAGGCTTAGTGGGGGTGTCTTTGAATGTGGTACAGTTCCTGAACAGCTCTAAAGGGGTACTGGCTCCTATGGAGCATGGAGTGAAGGTGTGTTCCACACAGGTCCCCCCAGCTAGATAGAAATCTGAAATGCTCATCATATTCTTAGCTTAAATGCACTCACACATTTCTCATCCCCTTGGAGAGACTAACATCCTGGCCCGTATTCCCTGGGATGCTGGTAAGAAAAAGGTCTAACTAAGGTGAGGACCACATTTTCAGTCCAACCTGCGGTTCTGCATTCCCTTCTTCAGTGGTGACTGGTTTCATTGGATGTGGTGGATCCAACGCTTGACTTCTCCAACCTTTGTGGCAGTCAGCATGGTCATTCCACTGCTCACTGAGCTGGTCCTGTGTGGAGGGGTGGGGTGGGGCAGTCTTCTATGTTTTCAGCAAGACCTGACCTTCAAGCTGGATGCTGCGTAGAGAGCCCATAGGAACAGAGAGAGACCTAGAAAAGACTAGATTGTGCACCATAGATTAAACCTGTGCTTCACATAGGCTTTTGCCTTGATAGATTCTCCTAGCTGAAAATCACTAACACAGGCAGTGACCTTGAAAGGTTTCCCATACAAATGTCATAGGGACTCAATTTGAGTGCATTTCCAGAGCCATCCAGAGACAGAGTAGGGTGTGGTGGACCAGCCTCCACAACCAAATGGGTCCTAAGAGGTGATCGTGTAATTGAAGGGTAAATTAAAGAAATATCAGCCAAGACATACAAGGGCTCGCCTCTTCTGATTTCAGGATCAAGAGAGTGAATGTATTCTCTTAATAGGTTTATATAATGCCAGGCATGCACGCTGTTGTCATACACATATGTAACAGGAAGAGGACATGTTAGCGGTATACACGCAACAGGAAGGGGACATGCTAGGGACACAAACATAACAGGTGGGTTCTAGAGTTAAGATGGCAGTTTAACTTTAGTTCCCTCTGAGCTGGCTTGACCTTATGTATTCTTGAGCTCTTCTCCAGGGGAGCAATCTATGATCCTTATCAACAGAGAGTGGGCCGTGCCTAGGGTAGAGTGATCTGATCACTTGGTGGCAGACCACCTTCAAGCAGTAGTTAACCTTCAAGTGCATAGAAGCAACCTGTGCTTGCAAGCAGCATCTTCAAATTGGCATTATTATAGGGATATTGTGGGTAATAACTTGTAGTTAGGAGAATGGATTGGGATTCATCTCCAACTCCCCAGTGTGGAGGCCTCCCTCCACTATAATCTGCCCCCAGACACTTGATTTTGAGCACAGAGAATTTGTCTGCATGCACCTGGCTCTCAGTTTCCCACTGTCGGGCAAGAGGCAAGTACTTGAATCTCTTTTAGTTGTGTTTCCTGGCAGTTTTGAGAATATGACGTGTCCATCCAACCTTTCCTGATGACCGAGGCCACCACTCAGTGCGATGCTTCCATTTGATTTGCAAAGCTTTTCTCACTCGCTGGGTGACTTCTGACACAAGAAGAGTCGGCCCAGTGTCACTCCTCGCAGGGCGGATGGCCGGCCAGATCTGGGAATCCTTTCTTTTAATAGGGCCTTAGTGGCTTCGGATTTCTTAGTCCTGGTTGCAAAGGCTTCTACTCAACCGGAAAAGACCAGAACCAACCCTAATGTAGAATTTCCATCCTTGGGTATTTGAGGAAAGTCCACCTGCCAATTCTTGGTGTTGTTTGGCAATGCTAGTTTGTGGCAGATTTCTTTTGGCATGTGTTTTCTGATACAGCTTACATTTTCTGATTTCTAGATTCGCTTCTTTCAATATCATCAGTTATTGATCATATGCTACCTCTTGAAATGGGTGTGTTGGGTGATTCTTTTTTGGTACAATGACTATATTCTTTTCATCTTGTCTTGATGATTCATATGGTGTTCAATACTTTGCCCATAGAATCCTTCAATATTGTAATTTGAGACTTGAAGTTTTTCTTCAGTTCTTTCAACTTGGGAAATGCTGTGTTAGTCTGGGTAGACTAGAGAAACAAATCCATAGAAACTCATATGCATATAAGCGAGAGTTTTATATAAAGGGTAATAGTACATTAAGAAAACATCCCAACCTAGTCCAGTCCAAAGCCACAAGTCCAATATTAACCCATATGTCTGATACCAATCTATAAAGTCCTCTTCAGACTCACAAAACACATGCAATGATGCCAAATGCAGGACGATCACAGACCAATGGGTAGAAAATCATTGGGTCCAGTGGCGTTGTAAGCATCTCAGCGCTGTCAGAGGTTCCTACGTGGCTTCTTGGGCTTCCAAGGTCTGGTTGCATCAGAGTAGGTCCGCTTCTCCAATTTAGGGCACTAGCATAGTTCCATGTGTCTTGTCAGCTGCAATGTCTCCCAGGGAGTGAGCTGAGAGAGAGAGTGTGTGTCTCCTGCCTCCAAGGAGGAATACTGGATTTCCCAGAATTCTCAGGAGAAGGCCATGCCCACACAGAGGTCTCCAGATTGACAGACTAGACCCCACCCCTGCATTCTTAATCTTCAAATTGACAAATGATTATATAGCTACCACAAATGCTTAGGGTATTCTTGGTTTTGTTTTGTTTTTTAACCTACAGGCCTTTGCATTTCCATTATAATACGTTCCTTTGCCTTCTTGAGCAGCCCTTTGAAATCTGTTCAGCTGTTTTGTTCATACTTTCTTCCATTTGCTTTGCTCACTGTCTGTTCAAGAACAAGTTCCAAGGGTTTCTTGGGGCATCAATTTTGACCCTTTTCTCTTTCTTTCCTGTCTTTTCAAAGACCCTTTGCTTTCTTGGTGTATCATGTTCTTGGTGTTATCCCAAGGTCCTATGGTCTGCAGTCATGGGTGTTCAACACATCAAATCTATTCCTGGATGTAGGATGGCCCCTACATCCAGGTGGGATATATTCAGGGTCATACTTTGGCTCTAACCAACTCGTGTCAAGGGATGTGACCAGTATTTTACAAGAGTATTTCCTCTTGCTTACTTTGCTTCATTCCAGGTTTGTCTCTTGTCAGTTCTGTGGTTAGCAGCCTAACTCATAACCAACTATGCCAACTAATTTAAAGAAGATAAAGTTATTTAATTTAAGCCAACTAATGAAATGTGAATGAGTGAATGTTGGGAGGTGATGGCATTATCCTAAAACAGGAATGTGATGATATGCAAATTTACTAACATTTGTCAAACCGTACACTTAACATTGGGTTAATGTGTGGTCTGTAAAATTATGTGTAAAATGAAAGAAAATTCTGCTACTTCCCATAAGAACTCCCCAGTTCTGAGTTTGATTGGCCATACAAATCTTTTTAAAAATTAAAAAAAACCCAAAAACAAAAAAAGAGAAAAAAATAAACACTTTTATTGACATATAATTCACGTATCATGCAATTCAGTGGCTTAAATGTATTATAAAGAATTGCATAATCATCTCCACAATTAATCTTAGAACATTTTCTTCATCTTTGCATTCACTATTATTAGCTCCTCACTTCCCCAAACCTTCCTTGCCATAACCCTAAGAAACTATCAATCTAGTTACAATTTCTATAGATTCACGTATCCTGGATTTCATATAAAGAAAAATTTACAAACAATAACAAAATAAAACAGAGAAAAACTTCAATTAAAAAGAAAACATATACCAGGAGGATTAGGGGAGTGGGGGGAGGAAGGGGGAATCGATCAGAAGGATCAATCTAGAATCCCCTCCCAGGGGGACAAACAGTGGAAAAGTGGGTGAGGAGTGACAGAGGATGGTGTAAGGTATGAAAATAATAATCTATAACTTATCAAGGGTTCGTGAGGGAGGGAGGGCGAGGGAGGGGGAGTAAATAGGGAGCTGATATTGGGCTCAAGTGGTAAGAGAATGCTTTGAAAATGATGATGGCGGCTTATGTGCAAATGTGCTTGACACACTGGATGAATATATGGATTGTGATAAGAGATGTAAGAGCCTCCAATAAAATTATTTTTTTAGAAAGGAAGAAAACAAAATAAAAACAAGAACAAATTTTAAAAGCATTCAAAAGGAAGAACAAATAATAAGGTGTTAATCTTTTTTTTTAAGACTAAAATTTATTTATTTAACATTTACAAGTATTTTATTTACCTCAGTAAATGGAAGACAATTGAAGGTACTGTTAAAATACATAAAATCCAGATCCCAACTCCATTCCTAAGGTAGGGCAGGGGACCTGAGCCAGGCCTCCATCCTAGGTCAGGCTCTTCCATTAAATTGAGACATAAGGTGTTATTCTTAACCTGAGTACGTCTGCATTAATCCACTTTCCAATGCACTCCATCTGGTAGCAAGGCAATTCACATCCCTAGTCAGTGGTCAGAGGGGATTCCCTGGAAGCGTAATCCCCGTGGAGACCCTGAAACCAGACGTGGAGCTTTCACACTCTTCTATATTCCTGCTGTAAAATGGGTGCTCAGGCAGAATTTAAGCTCTGACAGAGGTCCCTTCTCTGGTCTTGGATTTTATTACGTACAACCCTTGGATCACACAGGCTGGTGTACTTCTTCTCTGTGAACTTAGCTGACACCTCACTTAGATGGCTTCTCATTTTAAGACAAGCTTTGAAGACTTCAGATACTATCCTTTCTGACAGCCGAGCACCACCTGATTTCTTAACCACATTTCGCTACAGTGCTGATATCTTCAATGTGGGAAAATATTTAGTAGTAGCCAGATAATTCTTGTTCATTGGAAAAAGTCAAGGTCAAACTAGAAGAAAATGTTTCCAACGTGAAATGGTGCTTTATACATTTTTCTCTCAATGAACAGGGTCTTCGTCCTTCTTCTGCTGAGCCAAATCAGAATGAGAGGCAGAAACTAAGAGGGAATGGAGAAAAGCTTATGTTCCAGGATCTGCAGCCCAGAAGAAATAAAATGAAGGAACATGTGAGTGGCGAAACAGGGAGGGTAGAGGGAGAATGGGTAGTAAAGAGGGAACCAATTACAAGGAACTGTGTGTGACCTCCTCCCTGGGGGACAGACAACCGAAAAGTGGGTGAAAGGAGACGTCAGACAGGGCAAGATATGACAAAATACCAACTTATAAACTATCAAGGGCTCATGAGGGAGGGAGGAGCAGGGAGGGAGGGGGAAAATGAGGACCTAATGTTGGGGGTTTAAGTGGAGAGAAAATGTTTTGAGAATGATGTACAAATGCGCTTTACACAATTGATGTGTGTATGGATTG